TGCTGAACCCTAATGCCTGTTCTTGTTCAAAAAGCCATATGCAGCCTTTCACAGCCTGAGGAAGAGATACAAAATTAAGCATAGTGCAGTAAACACAAGAAGCATAAAGGCGAGCAAGACTGGGACTGAACATGTGTGCTTCTCTCTCAATAAATCAGCTGTGTTTCGGAACCAAATCAATGATATTTTTTAGCAAGAAATATACAAACTTTAGGCCTTAACATTTACAAAAGCGTAAGCTGTGAACAAGGGAAATGAACAGGACAGGATCTTATCCTAAAGCAAGACTTCAAAAATGGGAAAATTCATGAACTTTGCCAGAAATTGGGAAAATAATAGTTGCCATCGAGTACTCTAGTGTAAAACACAAGTACATCAATCCAGTAGTTACCACTGCTGCTAGTGAAATTCACCAATACCGCCAATGGTTTCCGTAAAATGACCAATGAAACCCCAAAAAAATTCGAAAGCAGTGAGATTACATTTCAGAAGATAAACTAACCTCAGTTCTGATTGTGCGTCGATTAAGGAAAGGGCCAAGAGGAAAAGGAAACCCAGTGAAGTTTAGGTAAAATCGCTTGCTCCGATCTCCGGTAACGGCTGCGTTGCTCGCCGACGAAGCACAAGCCGTCACCAGACCGTTGATTTCCCGCTTTCTCGACACGGGTCTTTCCAATTTCAACGACCGACCGAGAAAGTTGGCGTATGGATCCCGGGAAAATATGGGTTTAAGAAGAAGAGAGGATTTTGGTGGATGGACGGCCATGGCCGCTGCTGCCATTTCTTCTTCTTCTTCTTCCTCTTTCTGCTTCTTCCACTGATTGGGACGATGTTTTATTTGTCGCCAAAGAAGACAAATGGAATGAGAAGCTGACACGTGGATGCATAGTGGTTTCCCATTCTGCATGGATTTTTATTTTTCAAAATCCATGGACCTCATAATTAACATCGAATTTTAAAAACAAAAACAACATTCTGGGCTGATACGAAACATCTTAGAAGTTTCTGGAAGTACAAATATTGGCTATAATTCTGTGCATATATATATGTATATATATTACATATCTTCTTTTTATTTTTATTGCTGTTATATTTCATTTCTTGTATAACAATTGGCTGGCATATAATCTAACGAAAGACAAAAATCCTATTATTATCCCATTAAAAGCCTAAAATATATTTTTTTATTAAAAAAAACAGACAGAAGAAGAATCTAAACTGAACTTTAACCAAAAAAAAAAAGAATCTAAACTGAAGCTATTGCACAAACTGAGGAATGTTCCAAACGTCTCGGTTGAGGTGGCGCGAGTTTTCTTTCAGGGTTGACGAGAGTGGAGAAGTGGAGAGTCTTCCTGGTTGATGTCTCGTGACAACGAGAACTGAGGAGGTAAGAGGGCAGGATCTCTGTATGCAACAACGAGGTTGGCGTGGAATTCAGACATGTCCGGATCTCTCTCGTCTGCTCTGTCTTTGTTCACTAGACACTGCAGAAGAAGAAGAAACAAGAACCATACCCAAGTGTTATGGAAAGCTCTGCAGGCAAACAGAACATGTCTGGGATAGATTAGAGGAAGATGGCAATGGTCCTACCTCTGTAGGATAAGATCTGAAAATTGGCAAGAACCGTCTCTGACAGTAGAAGCTGAAAAGGGTAGTGAGGATTGGTAAGGGAATGGTTAAGGAAGATGCCAGTGGACGCTCTTTAAGCCCGAAGATCCCGATGGCTATGACGTGCATTAGTATCAGTGAGAAAACAGTGGATCTATGCACGATCGGCCAGAACTTCCCTCCAGTTTCGTACTTACCCGCGTATACGTTCAGCAGCTGCACCCGGAAAGGCCAAAACAATAAATCAATACATACATACATGACCAGAAAGGAAATACGATCAAGAAGAACCACGAAAAGCCAATAGGAAAATAACAGAAGCACGAGCTTTGTCTTACCTGGTTGCGGAAGATGATGTACCCAAGACAGTAATAAACCACCAGGAATGGCAGTATCAACGGAGAAAGGAAGAAGTAAGTTATCCCAAGAAGCCCAAAGAAGAGAATCTTTGGTATTTCACCACAGTAAGGAGTTGAAGGGACTTGGAGTTCTTTGTCGTCTTCTATACAGAAAATTTTCTTAAGAAAACTCAAAAGAAGGGGAACAAGACGGAAGATTTCTGATGATAGATCCGTCCATCCAGAAGTCACCACATAAGATATGAAGAAAGTAGCCTGCATCAGTAAGCAACAGTACCATTCATAGCTCTGAAACTGAAAATTGCAGAAAACCCAATAGAAGAATTGAGAATGGCTGTGGAACACTGTTACTACTTCAATATCGCATTCATGTTAGAAGCAAATGGGTCAGGCAATCTTACCTGTGCTGGCACAGCTTCAGCCAGTACACGGGGAATATTCTTAGGCTCGAGGAAGACATTAACACGATAAAGAGCAGATCCCGAAAGTACATTTGCAAAGAAGCTGTTCCATATGGTAAAGATCAGCAACTTGAAACATGCACTGTTCTCTGTCTGGCTGTGAGAGATGAACCCTTGCATGGAGGAAAGAAGAAGCATAACGGGCGGTATCATATGGAGGAAGAACTGTAAAATGAGACTTGGAAGATATCCCGTAATCACTTGGCTTACAACAGCTCTGAGAAGAAAAAAAAGATTGAAATCTTTAGTTGCCTGTCATAAATAGCATAACCCTCCACAAGATTTTTACTTACATGTTCAGTACGCCTTTCAGAAAGGGGAACCATATCTCCAACTGGTGCAGATTAGCAAGACCTTGAACCAGTAGAACTGGAACAATGAACAGGACAATAAGAGTCATGAAAGCAACGAATACCACCACATTGGATATCCATCTTCTCACGAATGAAGCAGTGAAAAATGGCCAGTGAACATCCCGGGGCTCTGGAGCCATCTCAGTGACCCATTCTGTCGGATCTAAACCTTGTTGTATGTTTAAAGCTATAGAAGCACCGTGTCTTGTCCTGAAGGAAACAAAAGCAGCTGGAACTTCCTAAAAGATTTGAGAAACAAAAGGAAGAAAAAAAAAACAAGTCGTTACACATTTTCTATCTCATATTATTTCACAATGGAATTTCCTTGAAGTACTGAAGGATTTCTGCAACAGTATATACACCTCTCCGGCCAGTAAAGACTGCTTCAATCTCATTTCATGTTCTAACTTCTCGAGCTTCTTTTCGTAATGATCTGCCTCATCAACATTCCTCCCAAACAGCCCTAAAAAGCCATCACGTCTAAACTTTTGCTGAGAGAAGTTTCCAGATTTTATTCGAGTGAGCTTCTTGTACAGCTTCTCAGCATTGTTCTACAAATGCCAATAATAAAACATGATAAGAAATCCTGACATTAATGGATATGATAACTCGTACCAAAACTATATAACCCAGAAAAATAGACCCATATAAAAGCTAATCTGGTAATGACAATAGTAACAGCATCCTGACCAACAGGGTAACAAGGTAACTGCATTACAGAAACTTCAGTAGTAGATTCTTACAACAAGAGTTTTTAGCTTGTCTGTCCGGTGAACAACTATGTGAGAAAGATACGTGGAGGGATGATACTGCCTGAAGAAACTTTCGACGGTGTCACTGATGCTGCTCCCAGATACACGAGGGATGCTACTGACCATGATTGTAAATTCTTGAGGTTGAGGTTTGGATGAATAAAAATAAGCAATCCTCTTTGATGAAATGTACTTGAACTCCTGTAACTCATGCAGTCATGGTGGCTGTCATAACAAATTTTGGCAGAAAGTTTCCATAGAAATGCAAAGAGGCAGTATGTGCATGCATGAGAAAGTACTACTTACACTATAAAGTAAAGAGCAGACAACCCCTGTGAAGATGTATATGGCACAAAAGTGAATCCACAGCCTAAAGTAAACCACAAAAGTTAGCAATGAGTAATAACTGGCTGAAGAACGCTGATAAATCCTATGCTAGTGAAATATTAATTGAATTCCACATATTTCTTCCATTCATTACCTATTTGACCCATTGTTGACATTAGAAATGCTGAATGAATCCAAAGTTTTGTTCGACAAATCAGAAAACTCTTCAAGCTCAGTGCCCATATAATTCACTGGAACAAGGATGAAGATCCCGACCATGGCAGCAAAGCTAAACACCCTCAAACTGTCAGAGATGTAGTACGGTAAGTTGATAGTGTAGGTTGTCTTCACTAGACCATTCGAAATCATGTAAACGTGTTATTTACCAAACATGTCCACAGAAATGAATGGTTACCTGAAAACAAAAATGCGAGAGAAGACCAAAGCATCTAAGCCCATATTCAATAAAATGTGTTCATCAGAAAGCTCCCAGGCCCTTCTGACCCAACCAGCTGTTGGCAAAAATCTCTCCAAGTTGAACTCATCTCTCTGCTGAGATTTTCCTTCGTGAACCAACCGTGGGGCATAGACAGTAACATTACCAGGCTGTTTTCTCAGTATGGAATACAGAGTGAAAAACAGAAAGCAAAGCCCAAGATTGATTCCCACTGAAGTTAAAAGTGCGGAAAGAAGCATGACTCTGAAGTCAAGTGTCACACTACTAAGCCCTAGTGCATCAACAAACTCGGTTCCACTTCCTCTGAAGGAACAAATTCCAGCCTAAACCTCCAATCAGCAATCCCTGAAGATAATGTAAAATGGCTCTTAAGACTTCATAGAATCGTTAAGCTGATGAAACCAAAAATAATATCTAAACCATCATCGAACATTCCGCATATTTCAGAGCAAAACCAAGCTCTGTAAAAAAGAAACATGTACCAAGAAATGGTCCAAGGAAAAGATTCTGGTCATGACAAGTTTATCACTCTCCCAAATCAAACCTATAAAATCTACAAGGAAATATCTTCTACTCCAAACCGATACCATTGTTATCAAATAACTCATGACAAATTTATCATGATTACGCAATATACTTGCATATCAAATACATGGTTTGACCAAGTACACTTGACTAGTCGGTTAAGAGGATGACATTCATAACTAGGTAACCAAGCAAAAGTCCTAATACAATCCACAAATTACCTATAAGTATTAAGTTCGGCATTTCACAAGTATGGGGATCAAGTCAAACATTGCCAATTCAGGGAAATTCCGGAACTCTAAACAGAAGCCAAAGCCAAAGAGTTGAACTTTTTTGGTTAAAGATGAAACCCATTCAAGATAGAACACTGATCTCAGAGTTCCATAGTTAGCAAAACCGAAAACTTGGAAAAGATCCTTCCAAAAAGGCATAATCTGTGGAACCAAACAACAACTCCAGCTCCCAAAAAAAACCCACAAGTAATTTCAAAACCCACTTCAGAGGAAACCCGTGAAACAGATTCATGACCGTGGGCTAAAGAGCAAGACCGAGAAGAGCTCACTGAAGTGAAATCTAGTGGGAGATGAAGAGAAATATCGAACCTTTAGCTTGAAGACAAAGATGGGTGATCTTGATCTGCGATCATATGGTCTTGAAACGACACCAAACGCCGAACGAAATTTAAGGCATCTCCATCGTCCAGGGTTCAATTTTTCAGCCCAAAGTCGGGTGTCGTTCATCGGGATTCGACGAGGAAAAGTCGGATCGACGATGATAATGCGCTGCTGGGTCCGGCGTCAGCAGCCCCTTCTGGATTTGAGAAAATAAAATAACCGAAAAAAGAAATGTACGAACTACGCCATTTTCAAGACTTTTGAGTCTTTTTTTCTAAAACCCTGAAACTTGAGGTAGTAAAATAGAATATTTTATAAACTCCAGGGACTAGTCATAGTGGAGTATTTTACCAACATGCAAAACTATCTGAGTATAATTTGTTTATTCGGATGCAAATAATAACCAGTACCTTCGTCCCAACTACATTTTCCACCTTCGTCCCAACTACATCTTCCACAATCTGAATATGGGATAGTCTTTAAACCGTAATTAATTGCACCTCCACCTTCCCCTCCGAGGAATCCAACGGTGTAGTTTAAAAACAGTGATGTGAATATATTTGCATAGACTTCACTTACCATTCAATTATCTAATTTTTAAACTTTTTTTTTTGGTAATATTTTTAAACTTCTATTTGCTGAATTGAAATCTATAGGTGTAGATGGTTGAAGTTGCCATCTTGTTTTTTTTTTTTTCAATATGCATGCATGGATCTATTTTTTTTTTTTTGTTTTGAAAACTCTCACGACGTTTTCTCGAATCTAGACAAAGAGATGGCCGCCGAAGATATCGAACCCAAAAAACGTAACAAGTGGAGCAATAACCATAATATCCGTTGATAATTAACTTAACAGAGCGATGCCACAGAGAACAGATTCTGCGTTTTATGAAAGACAAACAGGGAAAGACAAACGGAACAGAAGAGAATGACATGGACTTAACTCAATTCGAAACTTCAGATCAGATGGCATCCAGTGCCTGAAGAACGTCAGCCTTCACGTCCTCAAAGTCCTCCACTCCAAAGCTGAATCTAATCAGGTTGTCCTTTATTCCGTACTTGAGCCTCTCCTCTTGCGTTAGATCCCTTTTCCATCATCATCATCATCACACAGGGTTCGATCATAACAATCACGATAACGAGTTATCGGAAAACAGAAACCGAAGAATACCAGTAGGACATTATGGCGGGTTGGTCCACAATGCTCTCGCATCCACCAAATGACGGAGCGATGTAAGGAATCTTCAGAGCATCGACAAACTTGATAGTTGTGTCGAGGTCTCCGTCAATCTGCATTGAAATGAGATGTTCGTTCTAAACTAACTACACGTCCAAGAAACGAAGGAAGCAGTGGATTTGGATAAATCAGAGTGAAGATCTCTTACCTCGAAACTGACCACGCCACCAAAACCAGTCATTTGTCGCTTGGCGATGTCATGCTCGGGATGACTAGGTAGGCCCGGATAATAGACATGGCTCACCTGCACAGAAAACTCGAAACTTTCGCCAGCTCAATTTCTGATTCTCTTGTAATTTTCAAAAGTTACGGCTGTTAAGAGAGGCCACTATATATATTACCTTGGGATGTGCCTCTAAAATTTGGGCCATCCTCAACGCAGTTGAATTCTGTTGCTTTACACGAAGATGCATAGTCTTCATGCCTCGAATGATTAGGTAGGCAGCATTCTGGTCAATAAGGAACCTTATATTAACACGGATTTCATTTTGAAAGTAGAAAGAGAAACATGAAAGGGGATTGAGCATTTCACCGGATTAAGCGTTCCCCCCAACACGTGATGTAAATTGCGAATTTCCGACACCAACTTCATTGGTCCGCTGATGCATCCAGCAAGAACCTGACACAGGGAAACATAACTTTTAATATCTCTGCAACAGCCAAGGTGCCCATGTTCATAGGTCTTCCATATTTACTCACATCATTGTGGCCTCCGATATATTTTGTAGCAGAATGCACAACAAGATCGGCACCAAGGGCGAGGGCCTTCTGGTTGAGAGCTGTTGCAAAGGTACCATCTATGCAGACAAGAGTTCCTTTTCTGTGGCATATTTCTGAGACTAACTTGATGTCGACACATCTCAGGAAGGGATTGGTTGGGGACTCAGTAAAGAACAGAGAAACCTGCAGAAAATTTACAATACCCAATTCAATGAATAGTGAGATAGTGAGATAAATACATACTTTTTCCACTTTTACTGATCGGAACAAGATTACATACATACATACATACATGCATCTAATGGGGCCATGAAAGTCTACGGTCACAGCTTTGGTGGGGTTGTCTTTCTTTTTCTGGTTTTATTTGCATCGGAAGATGCGTATGCAAAACACGTGGAAACTGACCTTGTATTTATTCACTGCAGCTTCAAGTCCCGCGATATCAGCAGGATCAATAACAGTGACCTGTTCACATCAACATGAGATTAGAGCTCCATTTACCCGACAGAAGCTACAGCCGAAATAAACTGCATAAGATTTCTACAGGTTTAGTTGTCATTCCATTGAAAAGGGTCCCTGTTGGCTCTACGTGTTTAAGATACGAAGAAACTTGGGGATCAAGGAAAAGAAAGATACCGTTATCCCCAACTTAGGAAGAAAAGTCTCCATGAATATCCTTGTCTTCCTGTAACAATCTGTTGTTGTCACAATGTGTCCACCAGCAGGAACCAAAGCCAACAGCATAACAGTACTTGCACACATGCCAGACGCCAGAATCAAGGTTGATTCAGCCCCTTCAAGTGCACTGGAAAAAGCATGTACAAACATACGTAGGTAATAATAAAAACATAGTCTTTGTGGTGAACACAGTGGAAAAGTGTAGACATCAGCACGAACCTTATCTTTTCTTCCAAAACCACAGTCGTCGGGTTTCCATACCGACCATATTCAAAACTCGCATGGCGTTTCTCCTACAGGAATCAAAATTCAGAACGATAAGAGACACAAGTCAGCAGACATGTAAGGAGGAGTCTTTTTCCTCCACAAAGTCTACCTAACTGAAGATTAATTAAACATTTATAAATACCATAGTCAAACAGTGGATTGATTATTTCAAACGCTTGGATCAAGTCCACAAACTCATAGAAAACTGTACAGTCCCAATACCTTGAAGTCGATAAGCTCAGCAGTTTTCTTGAAGAAGTAGGCAGATGTGTTGACAACTGGGGTGGTGATTGCATCTGTGACAATACCACGACCTAATCTTTCACCTGTGTAAAAAAACCATACACCAAGAACACCCATTGTCCCAAATGAATGCACAAATATCAATGAACATGGCAATGGTGATTCATAACAGACAAAGTTGCTGGAAGATTGTCAATTTCAAGAAGCATACGAACAAATTTGGTTCCGTGAAAGAAGTTATGGATCGAACAATTTATAAAGACGGATTTTGCTCAAATGGATAGAAACAGGAAAAAAAAACAATGGATCCCGCGTGCGTACCAGCATGAACAGTCAGGCTCCCATCGGAGCACAAAAATGAAGGTTTCAAATCGGCCAAACCCTCCAACTGTACACTACCTAAATCCCTAACTCCCTCGGCCACCACGTCCTCCCCGTCGACGGGGGGCATGGCGGTCGGAGAGGGAGCGGAGGCGGCGGCGGACGCAGCGGCTGCAGGAGCTCAGATCAGATGGCATCCAGTGCCTGAAGAACGTCAGCCTTCACGTCCTCAAAGTCCTCCACTCCAAAGCTGAATCTAATCAGGTTGTCCTTTATTCCGTACTTGAGCCAGCCACACCGATGTTGCTGCAGTTGCGGCGAGCCTTGATGCTCAGCTGGCGGACGAAATTAGGAGGGAACCTCAGGATCATGGAGGAGATGCCGCCGCCGCCGGTGAAGGAAGAAGCCGTCGCGGAGAGGTTGACACGGCGGCGAGAGGAGTCGCCGAGGGGAGCACCGGTGAGATCCGGGTCGGAACGGCATTGGAAGCCGAAGGGAGCGACGGAGGAGAAGACGGTAAGGGACTGGAACGATGAGACGGCCATTTTCACGTACGGACACTTGTAATCTCTATCTCTCTCGGGGGTTTTCCGCGTCGTCTCAGAAATGCGAAGGGCAGAGTTAGCGCTTCCAAAGAGGCGGCTTTAAGGAGGCCAAACTGCTTGTCGTTTTTTGGTAAGGTTAGTTAACCCCGGGTTAGGTTTGAAATTAACCAGCCTCGGTTTGCATGTCATAATCTTTGCTTAATTCATTATTATTATAAAATTTTTGCATTGGATAAAGCATTAACCAATAAAATCCAACCCCTTCGGAATTTCAGTCAAAGCTATAAAAAAAAGGAATACTAAAAATAATTTAGATATATATATGCTCGTTTTAGTAAATTTATGGGAGTGAGTTTTGATCTTATCAATTATTGTCAAATACAACTTAACGAAGTGCCTAAATTTGTAATTATTCTAACAGTTCATTGCATAGGTTTACGAACTGTCCGAATGAACCGAATCTGTGTTTATGTTCTGAATTTCAGAATCTTTATATAGAAAATACGAAAGTTCATTCCTTAAATATTTTACATAATATTGCACTAGACAACAAATGTGCCGGTTTTAGAAAAAAAAAATTAGAATAAATTAACTAAAAATTCCATTTTTGTAGTTACACGTCTCTCTCCCTATCTCCATATACCATCACATCAAGGTTCTATCAACTTGGACCATCATTTGCTTTCCCCTTTCACCTTTCATGGTTTTGAAAATTTCATATAATCTCCCACTAAACCTATATGGAGTAGATCACAAGATTACATACATACATACATACATGCATCTAATGGGGCCATGAAAGTCTACGGTCACAGCTTTGGTGGGGTTGTCTTTCTTTTTCTGGTTTTATTTGCATTGTAACACCACATACATACAAATATCTCAAACCCTGTATTGTGAATTGCTATTGGATATGCAGTTGCAGAAAATTAAGATGGAAAATATACCATGTTATCCGATTGCACCAAAAATCAAGTTGCTCTAAACCATGACCAATTTTGGTTCCAAACACAGTTAAAAGAGAATCACAAGATGCATTTAAATAGACTTTTTTTTTTGCTAAAAAAGAGAATCTAGAAGTTTCACCAGAAGGGCTTCAGAATCAACATCTGCATGCTGAGATTTATTCCAAAGGTATGAGCAATTTAATGATGAGCACCGGCTTCAGCCTTCTTGTGTGACTTCGTTTGTATCTGCATATGAAAACGCTTTCTTATTCGTATTGGCAAACAGAGAAAAATAATATCAATTGTAAACGAAGAAATCCAAAGCTGAAGAGGAGATAAAGATGCTACAATTGTTCAGCAGCAAACAATTGTTCATTTTCTATTAGTAATAAACAACCTCCAACTCAGTACAATGGCATAAGACCAGAGTTACCATGGAGGATATATTATAGTTTCCATACATAATTTCTGCCCATCAAGCAAGCAACAGAGAAGGTTTCAACTTTAACAACCCACATGACCACTCATTAACTTGAAAGATCAGTCACGCTCAGTGCAGCGATAAGAGGGCAATTGCAAAAGTACCATCTGATCAATGAAAGACGCAGTCCTCAAGAGTTTAGAAGATGATTATTAAAAAGGGAAACCGGTCGGAATTAGAGCATAATCATCTACCAACAAGGGCATTTTTATCATCGGCCAATATACAAACTAGCATACCTTGAATCCGCATTTACTATGGCTAACATGGAGATATTACCAACATATATCCTCGCATTAACACAACAACTCTGCGTTCACCGACATCTATCCTCTCAAACAGACAACTACCTAGACAACTATCGAAATGCTCACAACCTGTTATTTGATAAAAGAGAAAACTTGGGGGCTCAATCAAAATAAAATAAATATCATGAATCACCCGGTCAAAGATCGACACAGAATCTGGAACCCAGATGAGTCGACACTTTTCCAACATCAAACAGAGATGTGATACCACAGGTTCTAATCAGACCAGGAATCAAATCCAGAAAACGATGAAAACAGCTTCAGTAACACGATAATCCAACGCGATTGAAACAAACCTTCAAAATCTTGAGCTTTACATTCCCGTAGACGAGACCCAAGCCGAAAGCCGAAGCGCGAGCCACCTGTTCGAAACAAAGGCTCAGTTATCAAAGCCAAAACGATAAAATCTCAAAACGAATCGGTGAGACAGATCAGAAAATCGAGGAGAGAGATTACCAGAGCAAGAGTGCTGGCGCCGGAGTAGAGAGCAGGAGACGGAGACATCAGTAGTTGGTGGGTGTTCCTCGATTCGTCGGCAGAGAAAAACCCTAGAGCACCACAGTGGATGGAATGGGACGATTCAAAAGCGAAACGAAGAAGAAAAAGCGCTGCGACTTCTCCACGTTAGATTTGTGCTCCATATTGGGCTTTTTTTGTAGGCCCATAAAATTGGGCTTTGTAGAGAGTCCACTAAAGACCCTATCATAGAGATTCAAATGGATATTTATGAAAGAGATAATTCAAGATATTTTTTAGGAAAATAAAATTATATAACATATGCACCTTTTCTTACTTTATTTTGGTTTCAAAGTTACAAAAAATTATTTCTTATAATTTATAATAAAAAAAAAAATTTGCTCTAACTTCAACCATCATCACAAATTATATAAACTTGCATAATTTTATATAAATTTTTAAATCTATTTATATATATAAAAAAAAACATTGTTCTAAAACATAAGAATTTATGAGATTGCCTTTTTTTTTTTCTTACACCATTTAATTTGTAGTGGGGGGAAAAAATCAGATTCGAAAGGGGCAAAGGTAAGGCGGAAAACGACATGAAACCACCAGCAATGAATTTTCTTTCTTTACTCGACATGTCAACGTATTGTTTTTATTACAACCTCATCATTACTGTTCATTCCCTATCCTTAAGAACGCGAATATATTGAGAGAACAAAATAAAATAATAATAATTTACGTTCCAATGGTTATAATTTCGTGTATAAATTTTCTAAAACTAAAAATCACAAATAATTCTAACAAAAACCCAACGGGAATAAAACAAATATCTTGCCGAATAATTGTGTTAGACAATATAATCTGCATGGTCCACTAAATTAATTTATTAAATTTGCATGCATATCGCGTTTTATATTTTAAGCTGTTCATAAGAACAACTACTATTTGATGCTTGTACACAAATATTCCACAAATTGATTATCAATGTGAAGATATTGTTAGAAAAATAATAAAATAAGATACAATAAATAGAAATAATTCATGACAAGACAAAAAAAAGGGAATAAAGATTTTTTAGGGTAATTTTCCTTTATGAATTATTTATCTCTTTTTGGATTTTTTTTTAAAAAGATAAACAAGGGAGAGACGGTAAATAAAACGGAAAGTGAAAAAAAAATATATTGAATTAAGCTATCGACATTAATTACTCTGACTAAGTTTGCAAATTCACGAAGCATAAAAATTAAAAGTCTACTTAAAATGTCGGATAAAATCTCGACCCTTGGATCAGAACATCGGCGGGGAATCGGACGGTGAGGAATCGACCAAGTTCAGAATGCTGTTCCAGTAGTTCTTGTTGTCCTCGTGGTAGTTGTAGTCACCTCCACAGCTACTCTCGTTGCCGATGACGACGTCGTTTTTTCCGGCGCCGGAGAAATTCCGGTCAAGGGTATTGCTAAGCAGAAGGCTGGTAAACCCTTCTTCGATTCCTTCCGTCGGACAGTTCATCTGTGCGGTTGCGAACTCGTGGATTGTTGAAGTGATCCAATCGTGTTCGTGCTCGTGTTCTTTGATCAGACCCGTGTCGGAGGAGGCAGCAGAGGAAGAGCCGACGAATTCGATTGTCGTGGCCGGAATTCCAGATAAGTCGTTGTCTTCGTTGTTCTTGTTTTCCGGCAGGATTCCGAGTCCAGTAGAAGGCATCAACGCTGTTGGGACATTATCGGTGAATGTCACTGTGGATGTTGGAGATTCATGCTGTTGATCTGCACTGCCTGTGAAGATTTACGACGTTAAGGAAGGAAGGAAGGTAGGAAGAAGAAGAAAACCAATTCAGACAAAACATTTAACAGTGTTCCATAGCTGAAGACAGTTTCATATCACTAAAAGTTTAGATTTTTGTCATACTATGTTCTTTTGTATATCGATCGAGCTGAATCCATCATTCGTTACCTTCATTTGGTTTTGTCCAATTGGAGGACGATTTGTGAGGGAAGGCGGCATAATGAGCTGTTTTGTTAAGGCTTTTCTGATAGTGCTGTAAATGCAGAAGCTTTGATTCTCTGGCCAGCCTTGCCTCGGCCTCGAGCCGGGCACTTTCCCATTGAGCCATGTGGCTGAGTGTAGCTGCGTTCTTCGACTGACCGCCCGACGACAAAAGGGTCTCGTTTTTGGGCTTGTGGGTCACCGGATCTATTCCCATTTTCACCAGCCGTTTCTTCAGATGCGTGTTCCAGTAGTTCTTTATCTCATTGTCTGTCCTCTTTGGCAGGTGAGTCGCAATCGCTGACCACCTACGGACATATAGGAACTCTGATTCAGAAGGGGATATCAGAGAAGGAAATTTTATCTCTTGAACTTTCTATCTAATGGCTCTGAGTTGGGGTTAGAACTAGTGATCTTCAGTAAAAGGGCAAGTTTCTGCCTCAGTAAGCTGTAAAAGAGTTAATTTAGTGAAAAGCTTTTTGATTCTTGAAGACTTACCTGTTCCCCAAGAGAGCATGGAGTTGAATGATGGTCTGTTCCTCTTGCAAGGTGAATTTCCCTCTCTTGATGTCAGGTCTTAAGTAGTTAGTCCATCTGAGCCTACAACTCTTTCCGCACCTTTGTAGGCCTAAGCAGCCAATTAGACAAGATTTGAGTACAGATAGTTAGCCAGCCAAGAGGGGAAAAAAGAAGCAAAAAAAACAACTGTGGATCACCGGCTTTCTCAGGCAATGAACGCCAGCTCCCATGACCATGTTCTTCAATGAAAGCCAAAAGCTTCTGGTCTTCTTCTGGTGTCCAAGGTCCTTTCTTCAATCCAACCTTGTCACAGCAAGGTGATCTGCCCATTTCAAACAAGAAATCTAGAGAAAGATTACAACTTTTTCACAGGAAACAAACCGATAAGGCGGTGAAAGAAAAGGGTATGAGGCGGGTGGTTCAGAGAGAGATACACAGTAATGAATGAGAAAGTGATCACATGATCATCACAAGGGTGTTGTTTTTGGCTTCACTCAGTGGCATATCTCAGTGAAGAAGCTTGATATATAAGAGGGGGAAACACAACAAAGATGTCCCGTTAGGATCAGAAGCCTCTTTTTCCGGTCTCTCACATGGATTGGCATTTATTTCATATGGGGTCAGAGAAGCAATTGCCTTTTTGGCTCAAGACCTGGAGAGTCCCTTGTAAACTGCTACCTGCCACTGTAACTTTTCCAACGCAGCTACAGCAGTTATTTCCAGGCAAAGAAGTAAATTCAGGTCAACATCCTCATTTGGGTTCACCTAGTCCCTTAGGATAAGATCATAGGATACGATTTCTTGCTTTCTTTTTGCTATATCTTCTTAGCGGCTTAGCCGAGGCATTTTCAGGGCCAGTTCCAAAGTCTAGCACAGCTTATTTCCTCCTGATCTATTCTAGTTTTCTATCCCATCCTAACGATCCAAACCATACTCAGTTCTACCCTCATTCACTAATCTCTCAAATGTTCTGCTCGTTTACACTTTCTATAAACGGCGTTTAATCGTACTCAGGTTATGATATCTCACTCTACACCAATAATGGAAACCGTTCTAATGTTTTCTCTCTCATTTTACTTCTCTTTACTCTATATAAACCTTGTCCTTGTTACTCGGTTTCAATGCCATATACTACTATGTGGTCCTGAACATGACCATGGTTGTCTCAAGTCTTTCGGTTTTTTGCAACTCTCTCCTCTACGTTTCCTACACTTACCATGCTATCCCGCTAACTTCTGGTAAATTTTCATTGACCCTATAATCACACTATACAGTGATTCTCCTTCAATCCTATCTTCAAAAAGGGTGCTCATGGTTTTCACACAATTTTCCCATCATGTTTACCAATTACAGGTATTCTATTTAAATTTCGCAACATTGAGAGGCTATGACATTAAGAACTTTCTCATAATTCTCGTCTATGTTTGCCATAACCAGCAGTATCCTATTAAGTTTCCAGAACTTTTCTCACCTAAGCTTACCATAGTAAATGCTGTTAAAATGACAGTGACAAAGAGAGAAACTGGCAATACACAATGGAAAAACCAATCAGCAACCAGACAGAGAGCATAGTCTTAAGATGATACAAAAGCTAAAACCGCGATTTCAAGCAAAAGCCTATATTCATTGTAAGCACCATATATGGAAAAAATGGGAAACAAAGTAGATGCAAGTATTTAATTGGTCATAATGGTCAAGACTTTCTTAATGCACTCTCATGACCTGAAATGGTAAAAGTTCTCACTGTGCAAGCAATTTAGCCGATGCAAGACATTTATACTAATTGTCTCTCACTCTTGGAGTTAGATTAGAAATTTATGACCACAGAAGAACTGCACGCAAACACTGTATTAAAAGTCACAGATGATTTCTTTCTCCTCTTCTCTTTTCCATGACCCAGTTCCTTTCCTGGCATTCTAAGACCGCAGTTACATCTATACTATATATCGGCTATGCACTAGCTAACCCCTGAAAATACGAAATAATCGACAAAAAACGCACATAATGTAAAACCATAAGCTAAAACTCCATCTGGGGTTTTGGTTCTGAATATAGCCTGTTGAATGGATATATAATCCATCTTAGCCAGTCATGCCATGGTAATATCTCTAGAAGCATGGGGGTATCATATCTTGATACGACATTTCGTCAATTGCTGAATAATTAAAGCAACTGATCCAGTGAAAATTCAAGGAATCTAACCTTGAAGATGTAACCAGTGAATGGAATTTACCAAAAGGATTTTTTTTTTATTATTATCATCATGCATAGCTCTGATATTATCAACATGGTGATTTTCCCTGCCAAGAAAGGTAGACGTTTTATGAGGGTGACCATGACATGAAGGAAAAATTACAGGACAAAGCAAGGAGGAGTAGCTAATGCATTCTATGGAAGCAAAGATGGAGTTATTGATGTGGGCTCCAAGCTTGTGGGGAGGAGAAGAAGTATCTTCATCGACACAGCAATCGAAAAGACAAAATCACAGGCCCAAGAATTGTACAAATAAAACAAAAACAGAACAGTTTTTTTTTTCTTTTGTTTTTCAAAAACAATAATTGTAAAAAATAAATCAATAAATGTGAATATGAAAGCAAGGAAGAAGAGGACTAGTCATGGATCAAAAGAATTCATATCGACAGCAAAAGATGTAAAGGACAACGGGGACACACCTCCTTAAATTTCTTGCTGATCCCATATTTTGCCCGCTTCTACTCTTTAGATGGTCCAAGATTTCTCAATAAACACCTCATAAATGATGCAACTTGTCATGGTTTTATTGATCCACGTAGCCAAACCTCCTTCCCCCCCCCCCCCC